GGTGCCCGGGGCACAGGGGCGTCTGGCTTTTGTTCGGCATTGCTGCGGTGGGCAGGGGCCTGGGCTGGCGGGAAGCTGGCCGCTGGGGGGCAGTGGAAGTAGAGAAGGATGTGGGCCTGGAGGGCCGTGTCCCTGCCCTGAGGCAGATTGGATGGGCAGGCCCCTTGAGCCCCAGGGTGTCACTCAGGTGGGGCTGAGGCAGGGCGGCAACTTTGTCAAATTGGCTAGGGAAGGCGTCCCTGCCCCAGGAGGCTTCGCCGAGCCCTGAGTCTGGGCAGTGACTGACTTTCTGAGGGTTGGAGAAACAGTGCCCACAAGCCAGGGGCCTGTGCTAGGGGGTGGGGGTAAACAGTGAGGGAGAGGGCTGGAGGAAGGCCAGGCCCTTGGAGAGGAGTCAGGTGGAAAAGGAGGGGAGGGGGCTTATCCAGTAGTGAGAACCCCACAGGAAGCCTGGAGGGTGAAGCTATTCGCAGTTTAAACCCCCTGCCTGGGCCAGGGCCCTCTCAGAGAAGCTCAGGCCCCCTCAGAGCCAGCTGGCCCCCAGCCCCCTCTCCTTCCTGCATCTCTTGGGCCTCTTCCTCGGACTCTGGAGACGCCCGGGACACGCCCTTCCTGCTGGATGTGCCGAGCCATGCGATGGTGGCACAGTCGTTCTTGACTCGTCCGACCCGTGACAGAAGATAGCTGACACATCATCGCCGTTGTGTTTCGTCTTTATGTCCCGCAGGCAGAGAGGTCTGTTTCAGGGAGGTCTGTGAGGAAAGCAATTCCAGTGGACAGTGTTCTTTCTTTTTGCCGAAGGCGTTTCTCCCACCTGCTGAGAACGGAAGGGTGGGTTTTGAGGTCGGCTCCATAGTCGACAGGCGGCACCTCTCAAAGACAGCTTGCATGATGGGGTCACCTCACCTCACTTCCCGTCACGGCTGGTTGGGGCTCAGGTGCCAACCTTGGGGTTAGTACCTGCACCCTGAGCTGGTGCACCGCCAGCGAGGCCTCTTGTGCACCTCGTGCACTTTGGGGTTGGATCAGCCGTCAGAAAGAGGTTGCACGTGGCCTTGTGCTCTTGACGGCAGGGTGGAGGCAAAGTGAGTGGGTGGCTCCAACCTGGCCTGCTAAGTGCAGAGTGGGTGGTTCAAACCCACCAGCCACTGCAGGAGAAAGATGACAGCCTGGGAGACCCACAGGGGCCGTTCCCGCCCCACTTGACCGCAGTACGTTTGGTTTCCGGTTGAATAGAGAACAAGGCCTGTCCCCTCCGCCTGGGGCCCCTCACCGGGAGGCCCTGCTGCTGTCCCAGGCCGACCCTCTGACGCACTCTGCCCCCCGACAGGATGCGCACGAGCTCTTCCACGTGCTGACCTCGTCGCTGGAGGACGAGCGGGACCGGCAGCCCCGCGCCGCACCTTTGTTCGACGTGCACTCCTTGGAGGTGAGCCCCAGACCCTCAGCACACTCGGCCCTCTGCCTGTGTGGCCATCCTGGCACGCTTGAAAGGCAGAAGCCGAGACTCACCTGGAAAGCCAGGTGTGGGAATGAGGACGGGAGGGGGTTGAAGCGCATTGTACAGCAGGTGGTGTGGATAACGTGACAGCAGGGTGAGCGCTTTAAAGTGACCCCGTGCCGGTTCTGGGGAGAAAGAATGTATCGCACACACACACACACACATGCACATGGAAACCCAGGGGAGAAAGAATGTAACACACACACACACACACACACACACACACACACACACGCACATGGAAACCCAGGGGAGAAAGAATGTATCGCACGCACGCACGCACGCACGCACACGGAAACCCAGGGGAGAAAGAATGTATCACACACGCGCACGGAAACCCAGGGGCATGAGAAGCTCGGTCTCATTAGCTATGCCAAAGGGGACTGCATGCCCAGAAACCGTGGGAAAGCGAGGCATTGACAAAAGGGCGGAGAGACTTCGAGTGAGGGAGGGTATGGATCACCCTTGGTGACAGGGCATGGCCAGCAACCAGCAGAGGGGTTGAGGGAGACCCCTGTGGAAAGACGTGGCTTCTATAGTGACCCTCTAGGACAGGGCAGAACCGCCGCTGTGGGGTTCCCAGACTGTCACTCTTTCCAGGAGTAGAAAGCCCATCCTCTGGAGGAGCGGCTGGTGGTTTCAAACTGCTGGCCTTGCAGTTAGCAGCCTGACTGGTAGCCCAACACCACCAGGGCACTTCCTTTGTAAGAAGTGAGCCTTTAAACCGCTGGGCAGTCAGCACATGGGCCGGGGGAGTGGGGGAATCCGGGACTGCAGCCTGGGGGGGCCTCAACCTGTGTCTCTGGTCCCACAGCAGCCGGTGGAGGCCGCCCCCAAACAGATCACCTGCCGCACACCAGGTAGGCGCGTCCGTCGGGCACAGGCGATGGGTACTTTGTCGAGATGACCGTCATTTGCTCGTTTTTTTTTATTTTTGCCCTGGTGACATCCAGTCCACAAGGAACTCGTACTCTGCTTGCAAAGGCACCTGTTTGGGACCCACCATTAAAAATTTTTTTAAAAAGAACATTTATTAGGTCTAAAGCGGGACAAGGACAGATATCATCCAGATGAGGGGGACATTAGCCCGAGGTCATCATGGGACCCGAGGCTTTGTTGAGACACGGAGCTTTCAAAGGACATGGAAGGGCGAAGGAAACTGTCACAACAACACAGCTGGTGGCAAGTGGAGCCGTCCTAGGGATAGGTGGGACACCCAGAGTGGGATCGGGCCGTGACTGTCACGTGTGCGTCATGTTAGGGGAGCTTGCAGGATTGGTCCTTGCAGGATTGGTCCGGGTTGGAGTCACCTTTCAGGGGTTCCCGCATGCTTACCGGGATGCAGTGGCTTCCCCTGGTGCCACAGCTACCATGGCTGAGCCAGAACCCAGCCCGGGGCTGGATTCAACGGCCCCGTTTCTCACCAGCATACTGCACCCCACCTCCACAGGACACCCCGCTCCACAGACCACGCTTCTCCTGAGAGCTCGGCCGTTTCTGTCACTCCGAGTGGCCACTGGCACCAGTAGTCTCTAAAAACACACACATTTGCTGCTACCGAGCGAGTCCCAGCTCCCAGCGAACAGGGCAGAACTGCCCTGCCTGTTTGCGAGACTCGAGTCTCGTCCTCCTCCCAAGGGCCTCAGAGAAGCGTGGGTCAAGTGTTGCGGGTTCAAATACCTGACAGCCAGCACCATGTCTCGATAATTGAGAAGATTCTTTATTCAGTTCTAACCAGACTGCGAGAATCTGAAAGCGACTCCTGTTGCAGTCCCAAGTGGACATTCCAGTCCAGCTTTAAAGGCAAACACATCTCGCATTTGTCCAGGACTTCAGCAAGCATGGACAGAAGCAGAAAGCAAAAGTAACGTTATTCTTCTTTAGAGTTAGTGAGCGTTGCAGGGCACAGCATTGATTTTAACATCCTGATGATTCATAAGATGAGAATCGTGATTCCTGGTTACAACACCAAAAGGAACAATTTTGATGTTCAGATCTCGAGAACCTAAGAGTACATTCTAAAGTCCATTACGACTGGGACTTTCCGAGATGGGAGGGGAAAGGGGGCAGGTCATTCAGCAGTCCACAAGATGGCCTTACAGTGTGGCTCATGCTAGTCTGTCTCCCAAGGTCAGCAGTTTGAAACCAACAGTTGCTCCACAGGAGAAAGATGAGGCTCTCTGCTCCCGCGAATAGCTGCAGTCTCGGAGACCCTCAGGGGTGCTTCTACCCTGCCCCACAGGGTGGCTCTGAGACGGAGACTGATGGCAGTGAATGAGTGTTTTTTGTTCAAGCACAGCCGTGCCCATCACACATGTAGAAAGGACATGTACAGACCACTAACAGTTCTCCGGCAAAGGGGACGGGGTGTCTCTGTGGATGGAAGTCATTCAGGGACAAGCCATTTCTGTTGATTTTTCTGGAACTTTGTTTGTTTCCACCCATGGGGGAGCTCCTACCACGTGCATATGAAGGCGGGTGGGTCTTGAGAGTGGCCCCGAGGACTGAAGGTGGCCTCAGAGACGTGTCTGTATTCTAGGGCCAGTGCCGCCCATGGCCAGCCACTTTACATCACCACACCCTTTCCACGGGAGACTGACCAGCAACATGGTCTGTAAACACTGTGACCACCAGGTGAGCCTGGGGGTGGGGTTGGGGCTAACACAGGTGCACGCAGGGGGTGGGACTAATGGCCATGGCCCCTCGAGTTACCACTAGCATGCCTCCTGGTCCTCAGATGGCCTTCAGCACCAAGCAGTAGCTGCACTGGGCCGGCTGAGTCCGAGTCCCAGCGTTCGGCCAGACCACCCATCCTGGGTCTGGCTTCCTTCGGTTTCTCTAGAAGATTCCCATCACTGTTACTGTACAAACTGTCCTAGGCAGTGCAAGGCCGGGAGAGCTGTACAACCATCAGCACAAGCAATTTTTGAACATTGTTGTCACCTGCCAAATAGCCGCTTATCCATTAACAGTCTCTCCCCCAGGGCCCCTCCCTCCAAGTGCCTAGCCCTAGGCAACTACCAGTCCACGGTGTGTGTGTGTCATTGTGGCCCCCCTCCCCTTGCCCTCCCCCAACAGGCCTGAGGTCCACACTGCCTGGCTGCTCGGCGTTCTCAGCAGGGTGCCTTCCGAGTTCTGCCACAAGGTTTCATTGGCCTTTGTTTCTGAAAAATAGTCCATCCTATGAACGCACCCCAAAGGAGCCCTGGTGGTGTAGTGGGTTATGCATTGGGCCACTCACTGGAAGGTCAGCAGTTCAAAACTACCCACCCTCCGAGGGAGAAAGATGGGGCTTCTCTGAGTTGATGGCAGGGAGTTTGGGTTTTGAAAGTGCCGCCTGTTGATTCTCCATTTGCATTGCGTCTGCTTTGACTGCCCTCATTCCTCGTTTGTTTTCCTGTATAAGGACGACCTTTCCCTCCTGCCGCATCCATCTTAGAATCGTGGAGTCTCTCTCTGTTTTTAAAGAAGCCCGGCAGGGCTGAGGATTGGGCTGGCACCCAGTTTGTGTGCGGGTGGGTGTCCTAATCTGTGACAGCCTGGCTCCTCTCCGTGTGTTGACTCTTCCTTAATCCACCCGGGACCCTGCTCCGTGTGTTCCTCCCTTTACGCCGGGTGGATGCTAGTGTGCATGAGACTTTTTTTTTTAATGTCACCTCTTTGCCACAAAGTATCTAGAACTATATCGTGGCTACCTCTCTCTTGACCTTGTATCTGGAGACCTTGCAAACAGCCACTTCCTGGTTCTGGAAGTTTATTGTAGCTGCGGTAGAATTCCATGTGTGTATGGATCACTCGGTTTGTGATGCACGGCCTGAGCATCCCACCTTTTGTTCCCTTTGTGTCCTTCTCCCAGATGGCTGAAGCTGGCAGGTCCTTGTCCTTGCAGTGCTCTTGGCCACGTGCCATTGCTTATTTATGGTGGTGCCCGAGACGCTTGTAGGCACTGTTGACATTTTATACTGGCGTCAGTAGTGCAGGGACGACCGTCTTTGTAGCTGTGTCCAGGGTTACTTACCAGGATAAAATCCCAGAATCGCAGGGACAGGCATGTATGCTTCTGGCTTAAGCGCCCACGTTGTCTGTTAATGTTGTAGGCTGGGTCTCAATAGAGTGTTGCTAAAGTGAGTATGGGTCTTAATGTTGGGCATCTACACGCGAGCCTGTTTCATAGCCACTTAATTTCCCACTCCTAACGCCTCGATCTTTTTATAATCCCATGCTTCGTTCATATTTGTTCCAGAGCCCTGTCCGGTTTGATACCTTTGATAGCCTCTCACTAAGTATCCCGGCCGCCACGTGGGTACGTACTGATCTTTGGGGCACTTAGCATCTGTTTCAGAGACATTTAAATGGAACGGGCCTCTTAGGTGTTTGGTGTGGCTCAGGAACCACGTGCTCCTCAGACACATGGTGGCTTGGACTCTTGCTGGGGCCCGAGGCGTCCCTGGGGGGTGCCCACCCATGGTTAGCACACTGGGCTACTGACCAAAAGCTGGTGGTGTGAGTCCACCCCAAGGTGCCTGAGAGGAAACGCTTGGCACCGGCTTCTGAAAGAGCGGCCATTGAAGGCCCACTGAGCCCAGTCTGCTCTAACACACAGGCATAGCGAGTCCAAACTCACCAGAATCCTCTAACGGAATGCTGCCACGGCCCCAGTATTGGGGGGGAGGGCTGAGGGTTGGCTGCAGAAATTGTGTGTGTGTGTATGTGTGTGTGTGAGAGAGAGAGAGAACTTGTATGCGTACACAGCTCCTATTCAGAGTTGTGTAGAGCACTGTGGGACCAGACTTTTCTAAAGTCTTGGCATCCTCAGAGCAGGAGCCTGGCAGCAGCGGGGCACTCCAGCTGTGCTAAGTGCCATGTTATTTCTGGAAACGTCTATGTGTGGGGACTCCCCTGGCTCCCCGACCCCATCCTGAGGCTTTTCTTTTGCTCACACTCTAGGGTCACCCGCTGACCCTGGACCTCTGCCTGCACCACTTCATCTCCTCGGAGTCCGTGCGGGACGTGGTGTGTGACAACTGCACGAAGGTATGGCTCTGTGCAGCCCCTCGCTACACCTGTCCACCGGTCCTTGGTGTGTTAATGGGCAGCCCACCCACCAAAACCATTCCAATTCATGGCACCCCACAGGGCAGGCTGGGCTCCTGTGGGTTTCCCAGGCTGTCTCTTTCACCCCGGGAGCAGTCGGTCTTGTCTGCCCAGCCTGCGTGCTCCCATTGGCCACACCTCCTCCAGGCTCAAGTGTCTTGCCCTCTACCTGATTCTCCCTCTCCAACCCCCATAAGCAATGGGATTTGACCCTCAGAATTAAGAGCATCTGTGTGCAGTTCAAAACAACCAGCCTCTCCATGGGAGAAAGATGAGGCTTTTCTGTTCCCGTTGAGAGGCTCAGTCTCTCAACAGCCCCCACGGGTAGTTCTTACCCTACCCCATAGTCATGCATTGGAAAGGACTCCATGGCAGTGAGCTTGCTATTTCTGAGTGTGGAGCCCTAGTAGTGGAGTGGGTCACACATTGGGCTGCTAACCACAAGGTCAGCAGTTTGAACCCGCCAGCTGCTGTTCCCGAGAAGGATGAGACTGTGAGTCAGAATCGAGCCAATGGCCGTGGATTTGGAGTTGGTAGCACATTGGTTAGGCCAGCAGCCCCTGCACAGGAGAAAGATGCAGCCGTCTGCTTCCGTGAAGATGAGCGCCAGCAGCTGGGCCCTGCCGTCCAGTGTTGTCGTCACGAGTCGCACGGGGCAGAGCAGAACTGCTGCCCTGGGTGTCCACGTCGTGAAGCTTCACGGGAGCAGACCGCCTCCTTTCCTTCCTACAGGGCAGCTGGGGGCTCGACCAAGCAGCCTTTCAGCTATCAGGCAAACACGGAACCACTGTGCCACCAGGGCTCTGCCCCATCAGGTTGCTGTGAGTCAGAACCGACCTGACGGTGGCGGGCTTGGTCTATGGCTCTGGGGTGGAGTCTTTGAAGACAGAACAGGGGCCACGGGGATGGGGACCCCAGCTTTCAGGCAGCCGGCCTGGTCTGCTGCTCAATCTCCACAGGCCTCACTGCCAGGAGCGCTGTTTTCCCTTTCAGGTGGAAGCAAAGGGCACCTGGGACGGGGACAAGGTGGAACACCAGAGGACGACTTTCGTCAAGCAGTTAAAACTAGGGAAGGTGAGTCCGGCCACCCAGCTTGCCAGCGTGGCTCTGCCTCTGGACCTTGGGTGCCCAGCCCACACAGCTTGCTCTCCCCACAGCTGCCGCAGTGCCTGTGCATCCACCTGCAGCGCCTGAGCTGGGCCAGCCATGGCGCGCCCCTCAAGAGGCACGAGCACGTGCAGTTCAGCGAGTTCCTGACGATGGACGGCTACAAGTACCACCTCCGGGGACGGAGGCCCGGCCCACGCAGACCCACGCAAACAGAGGAGCCTTCCGCCGCCCCCACGGCGGGTAGGTGGAGCGGAGTCCCCTGGCATCTGGGGGGACCACTCCCTTCTGGAGCCCCTGTGAGATGGAGTGCCAGCCAGTGTCCTGAGAACAAGATTGGGGGGCAAGGAGATCTTCCGGGAGGAGGGAATTCCCTGCCACTGTGAGGAAAAGGCCTTAGGAGAAGAGCCTCACTTCTCGGCTCTCCTGCCACTGCCCTCCCCGGCTCGTTGCTTACGTCGACAGGGCTTGTCGTACGAGCCCCCGCTGCCCCCACTGGCCGGAAGCCAGGTGCCAGTAGGGCAACAGAAAGTACACCAGCAGCCGTCGTGTGACCTCTGCCTCCTGGCAGCCCCTTGGGCGTCCAAGCCGAGCTGGGCTTCTGGGATTTCCTGTGGCTCCTTCCTCAGAAGCCAGTCAGTAGGCCTTTCTTCCTAGGGGCCTCTGAATGGACTTGAACCTCCAACCTTGCAGTTAGCAGCCGAGCTCATTAACCATTTGCATCCCCCAGGAAGGCAAGCTGCAGGCTCTGCTGGACTCTTGAGGTTAAAGGAGGGCACCGGGCCAGGCAGCAAATGGGAAGGTGGGGGCAGTGTTCTAAAAGTGTCTTCTGCAGTTTGTGGACGTCTGTAGGGTGACAGGCGAGGAAAGGACAGCCAGTGACCATAGGCTCCCAGCCTAAGTGACTCCCACCCACCAGCTGCTCTAGCGAGTCCAGTGTACCACCTCAGTCCCCCACCCTTTCCAACTTAGCATCCCTTACCCCAGCCTTTGGGCCGCCTGGCAAGACACCCTTTAATTTGGGGGAGACGGTGGGGCAGTGCTGAGCCAGTTTTCAGTCTAGTAGAGGTGTAGGTCTGCTTATATTCAGACCACAGTGGCTGTGGCTACAAAGCCCAGTAGTGAATTCCCTGGCACTTAACACAAGGAATTAAACTTACTGCATGGAATCAGTTCTGACACAGGGGAAACTGCCCCTGTGGATTTCCAAGGCTGTAAATCTTGGTAGGATAGGAAGCCTCATCTGTCTCCCAAGAAGCGGCTGGTGGGTTTGAACCACTGACTTTGAAGTCTGCAGCCCAACAGGTAGCCCAGCGTGCATGCCAGGGCAATACAGAATCACCCAGCCACCCGAGGTCTAGATCAGAAGGCCACTCAGTTGGCTGCTGCTTACCTTTGACCCACGTCTTTAGCAAACGGAATCTCAGTGGCTCCAGGTGGTTGTCGAGGCCAGCGGTGGGCCAGGAGCCAGGCGCACTTTCCGCCTTTGGGGCTGAGAGAGGGGCCGCAAGGCAGGAGAGGTGACGAATGGCTAGGCTCTGAAATGCCATCACTGTCTTTGCAGCCCTGTCCCAGAGTTGCCTTCCTGCCACCTTTCATTGATCCAAAGGGACGGCTACGCCCCGTCGCCTTGGGCCTCTGCTCTCTTTCAGCTCTGCATCTGCCAGGGGCCCCCCCGGGACAGATGTTCATGAACGGCGCCTGCTCCCCAGCTTCACTGCCGGCCCTGCCCAGCCTGAGGCCCGTCCCCCTCCCTGTCATCCCAGACTACAGGTGAGTTCCGCCGCCGAGCCCGCGCCTCGCTCACTGGCAGCTTCTGAAATCCTTAGAGACCAGGCTTCCGGTGAGTCGGTAACTGAACTCAGAGTCCCTTGAGGAGCACAAAAGGGGCAGCGCTGACACTCCAGGTCAAGGGTCAGAGGGCGAGGAGAGGAAGTGGGATGGGTGAGGATTGGTGCCCTGAGGGGTGGCAGTGGGTGCTTAGTCAATCAGAAGGTGTCAGCGTTGTGGATGGTCTACTGCCATCCACTCCAAGAGCCCTCGCCCCATTCACACAAAGTCCAACACTGCCAATATAAGGAGCTCTGCATGGAGATGAATTCACGAAAGCGCAGCTGCATCTTCCTCTCATGTTAAGGTAGAACTGCATTGCATTGCCCATCCCCAAAGTCCCCGGGGGCGGAGCACAAGCGGTTTGGCTGTGACTGAACCTCAAGGTCGGGGGATCAGATCCACCCAGCGGCAGTAAGTACTGAAGGCGGCAAATGGGCCCAGCGATCTGCCTGCACCAACGAGGGCAGCCAGGCACGCATACTGGAGCAGCTTGGCCTGTGGCACAGTGCCCCAGCCAGAAGCCAGTGCCACCCTGCCTCCTCCTACAGTGGAAATACCTGAATCCCACGCACTCACTGCCCCTGGAGGTTTCCCAGACTTGATCTTCACAGTGCAGACAGCCCTGCCTCTCTCCAGCAGGGCAGGGCGGCTGCTGGTCTCCAACTGTGGACCTTGTGCTCAGCGGCCCATCACGTAGCCCGCTGCACCACAGGGCTTGAACACACCAATGTTCAAATACGTTGTCGTGTTGCACTTGAATGTGCCCACTTACTGACAGGCCGCCCTGGAGGACAGCGCACACGTGCCCCTGTGGGTTCCCAGACAATCTTCAAAGCCTTCCTTTTTCCCTCAGAGCGGCTGCTGGGTTCAAACCTCAGACCTTGTGGTTAGCAGCTCAGTGGCTAGCCCTCTATACCACCAGTTCCAAGAAAAATGCAAATTCGAGATGCCACCCAGGGATCGCCAGTTCTGTCTGTAGGGTCGCCCACTCTGAGTGGTGTGTGTGTCCACAAACGTGCCCGGCATCTCGCCTTGCTCTGTACTGTCAGGGTGCAATGGGCATGTACCATTCACTGTGTGGGTCCCCAGCCAGCGAACCTCTAGGAGGCGCCATCAAGCCTGCCCGCCTCAGTTGTCAATCACAGGCATCTGCTCCTCCCTTGCAGCTCCTCCACCAACCTTTTCCGGCTGATGGCAGTTGTTGTCCACCACGGAGACATGCACTCTGGACACTTTGTGACGTACCGGCGGTCCCCACCCTCGGCCAGGAGCCCGCTCTCCACCAGTGGCCAGTGGCTGTGGATTTCCGACGAGACGGTGCGCAAGGCCAGCCTGCAGGAAGTCCTGTCCTCCAGCGCTTACCTGCTGTTCTATGAGCGTGTGCGCTCCAGAACGCAGCCCCAGGGCCAGGAGAACAAGTCCGCTGAGGAGTGACCGCCCAACTCCAGACCAGAGCCAACTCCCCGGGCCACCCCGCCCTTCAGGAAAAAGAAAAGGCCGGCCACTCAGACTCAGTGTCCTGCACGCAGCTCCCCTCTGGAGCCCTGCAGCCTCCCAGGGTGTGCTCACAGCAGGTGCCAGGGGGCTGGGATACCCGATCTCAGCACACCCACTCCTGGAAGGAGGGCCCGGGAGGTGGCATCCTGGTGGTAGGGAAGCACCTGTGTGTCCACCTCACAGCCATTCCAGACTTGGATTCCAGAAGCCCTGTGTCTCCGGCTCTGTGTGGCGCTCTGTGGGAAGCCCCGCCAGCTGGCTGGCCAGCTCTCTGGGGTTTCAGTGTTACTGTTTCTGGACAAGCAGGCCCAGATGATGGCTGACAAGAATCAGTGGCATGATTAAAGGCAGCAACCCGGAGGAAAAAGTGCCTTTCCCCGTCGTGGGCAGCATTTGTAGTGCCTCATTCTGGACAGCGGCCTGTGCCCAGGGGCCGCAGCAACTGTTTTTTTTAAAGCCCCGTTTCTCAGTCATGCAAACAGAGCAGGAGCAGCCCTCACGGCCTTCTCAGTCATGCAAACAGAGCAGGAGCAGCCCTCACGGCCGCTGAAGAGCACAGGCAGCCCTTTTATACGCCTTTTAAAGTCTCTGGATCCTTTATATGTAGCGGGGACATGCCAGCCAGACCCCAGACTGGGTCCCCGGGGCAGGGAGGGGGTTCTGTCTCTGCTTGGTCATTGTCCACTGCGATTCCCTTGTGTGGCCAGGCGTGGAGAGAGCTGGGCTGGTAGAACCCTTTGGGAATGAGGAGCCAGACCGCCTTTGTCCTGAGGACACCCTGTAGCACCCTGGGCTACCCTGCGGTATCTCTGCATTCACTGCCTGCCTGCATGTGAGTGAGGGGCACCCACCAGGAGGTTGCACTGGCTCTGGAAACAATCTGGGTGATGTTGAACAGCCGCCTAACCATGTGATCCCGAGTCCGTCCCACAGACAGGAATGCGGCTCCCTTCTGACTTACTCATAACCTTGCGGCCACAGCTGACCTCTGCCACCACGTCTGCTGGTCACCTGGCCCTGGTTTGATGCCCCCCCCCCCC